TGCATTAATTCGTGGTGAGTGCTGGAAATTGGGTCCCACAGCAGGTGAGGCTGGCTGGAAGACATCGTGGAGTGGGGCAGAGTCTGGTGCCGCGGTGGCATCAGTCAGCTGCCCCTGGCCTAGAGAAGACTGGTGGGATCAGCTTGGGCTCAGTCATGCCCCTGGTTGGGACCCAATAGCCAGGGATGAAAATTGTTCCAACCCTGTGACGTCCGCAAAGCACAGGCTAAGTTGCTGAAGGCACTTGCTGGATGACTGGCTCGGAGAAGAGCAGTTAGGCCACAGTCCCTGCATGCACTTCAGATAACAGCAAACTGGAGAGGGCAGCAAAACCCCAGGCAGCATGCTTTGGAAAAACTGTAAGCAATATGGAGAGGGCTTGACACCACCACCACACACCTGTCTGAAAGAAACCAGAAACATGACAACAGCAATGGATAAGACAAAACCTCCAGCCACTGACCCTGGGAAAATAAGCCCAGGAGAGGTAAATACAGAAGAGAACCAGTGCAGCAATCATGCAATATTGGCCACAACATCAGCGGACATAAAGAAATACCTTAGTGACTTCATAAATGAACTTAAAACTGAAATTCTAATCCAAGGGAGGCAAGATATAAAAAGATAAATAAAAGAAATGCTAAGCCCCTCTTAAGAAAACACAGATGGAAGAATGGAGGAACCCAGAAAAGGAAGAGAAACCTTTGGTGAAGAATATAAACAAAATCTAGAATGCATGATACAGATCCAAAGAGATTACCAGGAAATTAAAAACTCCATTGAAAGCTGGCAAAATGCCTTGACAGAAACTAAAGTTAGTCATTTGAAACTTGAAGAGAGATTTACAATGTGTGATCATGAAAGAAAAGACCTCTTAAAAATAACAAGGAACCAGGAAGTAACAATTCAAAGGCTAGAAGACAAGAGGATCTGTAACTTAAGAATAAAAAACATGAACGAAGAAGCATGAGTCACCACAAATGAAATATAAAGGCTATTCACAGAAATAATTAAGGAAAACTTCCCAAGCATAGGAAAAAGAAATGATATCCAGATAAACGAGGCATACAGAACTCCAACCAACTACAACTAAAACAGATCTACACCCAGCCATATAATAATCAAGATTCCAGAAATCCACCACAAGAACAGAATATTAAAAGAGCCAGAGAAAAGAAGCAGATCACTTACAAAGGAAAAATCATCAAAATAATGACAGACTTAACAACACAAACTATCAAATCGAGAAGAGCCTGAGGGGAAATAGTCCAAGCCCTGAAAGAAAATAACTTCCAAACCAGATTGATGTACCCTGAAAAACTCTCTCAAAATTAATAGAGAAATAAGATGTTTCCAAAATAAGGAGGAACTGTGGGAGTTCATCGCCACCAATCCAACCCTACAAAAAATACTGAAGGACATTCTAGAGAGAGAGAAAAAAAAAAAAATACCAGGATTCCAGCAACAGTGGCAGAGTGGCCTCAATGAACGGGGCAGACAGTGGAATGAAGGAAAAAAGTGGACAAATAATAGCAGAAAAATAGAATAACAGAGATGAGGCAGAGAAGGTGGGCTATAATCTCTAATATAGATAGCCTTGATACTAACAAAAAGAAACACAGGCAGAGTAGATTAGAAGGCAGAATCCATTGAGATGCTCTGAATAGGAAATATACTCAACCTGAAATTAACCTGAGGGTTAATAAACTGAAAGTCAAAGATGAGAAAACAATGCTTTATGTGACAGGAAACCAGAGAGAAATAGGGACAACTCATCCAGCAGCCACAAATAGTTTGGAAAGTTATGACACTTTTGGGCAGTGTAGAACTACACAGCTAGAAGGAAGGAATACCCTGTGGCTTTAGTAAGTCAAGGAATACAGCTCAAGATCATGCTCAGGGGTAAAAAGGTTCAGCACCACTCAGATAGATAACGGGTTGACCCCTAATCTAAAAACTAAAGGAACTAGTGGGACCCAAAATATACAAAGCATCCTGAAAAAGGAAAGGTGAGGAATTACCTAAAAAAGGAAGGCAGAGGACATTGTTAATTAGTGTATCAGGATTTAAAAGCCACAGTAGTCTTATCGCTCGTTTAGTTTGATTTTATTTTGTTCCAGTCTGTCTACTTATACTAGATTTGAGGGCACAGACAGCTATCCCAAAAATATCAGGCTATACTACTGCAACTATCCTTAATTTCCTATTAACTTAAACTGAAGCCCTGTATTACTTACATTGTCTTACTATGACTGATCTTATTTGAAGCTGGTTTGTTAGACTGCTATTTTGCTTTGACTGATTTTATTCAAATTTGGTATGCTTGATAGTATCAAGTCTAAAAGTAGAGGCAACTACTCTGAAGATGACAAGATGTAATAAGATACCCATTCCGGTTTGATTATAAACTGCTTTTGAAGTCCTACAATGTCTCCAAATTTGTGTTTTTATTAAAATAGCTATGTAATGCTATGTTCAATTATATTATATCTGATGATGTGGACAATTCTACTGAAAATAGAAAATAGACAATTCTATTGAAAATTCTACTGAAAAGAGAAAGCATAGTAACTACTGTAGATCACCTAATATTGTAGTTTTATATGTCTTTTTCATCTCATATTTTTCTAGAAATTTATTTTGTTGTCTTGTTTTGATCTGTTTTTCCCTATAATACAAAAAGAATAGATATACATGTAGAGATTCTCACATGAGGAGAATTTCTTTTTTTACACTTTTTTTTTCTTTTTTATTGGTACTGGGGATCGAACTCACGACCCCCTGCTTGCAAGGCAGGTGCTTATGCCGTTGAGCTAAATCCCCAGCCCCACGAGGAGAATTTCTAAACAGTTTACGGGAACAGATTATGGAATGCATGATGTAATGAACAAATACTCTGAAGAAGAAACACTAAGATACCCAGTGCTAATTCTGTAGCATTATGATATAAAATCTAGCAATGCTATTATTCACTGTTCAGAATGATATTAGCCTAGTCTCTTATGTTCAGTTTCAGACATAAAGATAAGGACAGCTACTACGAAGAGAATGAGAGACATTATGGCAGTCATTATTGACTTCCCCAATGTCAGATCTTGACCTAAAAAGCCTTCATCATCCTGTTTTGATTAAATTAGGTCTATAATGTTCAGTATGTATTCAATGTGTGTGAAGATGGGGACAACTATTTGGAAGAAAACTAGAGATGATAAGATAGACAGTGAAGATCTCCAGTGGTATTTAAAAAGAGAGAGAAAGAGAGAGAAAAGAAACATATTAGCAAAAGGGGCATGGCAAGCTTCTCCAGGAGAATCAACAGTATACCATTTTCCCCTCCAGTTCTCCTTTTACATGTTGGCAACAATCCTCACCACAAATGTTCACAGACATGACTTTGGTTGCCCCTATAAAAGCAAGATTTTTTGGACAAGGTGAGGTGAGAGAATAAAATAGGTGCAATGCAGCAATCTGTGAGAGAACCAGTCAAAGGGCAAAGGAATGGGCCAAGGAGTAAGGAAGCTGAAATATGACCTGTAGACTGCTGTAGCTTCTCTTTCTCTCTGTCACCTGCAGAAGATAAGTCCTGTCTTCAGAGGGAGCAGACTTTGCTCCCAACAATAGCAAGCCCAGCATCACAAAGCTGCCATGCGTAAAACCCCTGCTCTTGTAGGACTGTCCCCCCATCTGAGCCTCTCCCCAAAAGGCAAGACCTGGCCACTTGGGTCTCTTGAGAGGTTCCTGGGGACCCTGGCTTGCAAGGTAAGGTAATTTATTTGGGCAAGGCAACCCGTGCATGAAGACAGAGAGCAATCCCTCTGCCTCACCCACCAGATAGATTCCTTTGCCTCATCCTCCTGTGGAAGCAGTCAAGCTGGAGAGGTTGGGTGAGGTGACCTTAGAGAGCTGAGTCTGTGCTTCTAAAAATAGAAACATCCTTGGAGAATCCAGGAGGGAAGGGGAGGCTGTGGATATTGAGGGCAAAGACCTGACTCCCCAGAGTACTGTCAGTATGAAACTGTATTAATTAGACACAGGCACCCAGCGTGATAACCTCAGGTACCTCTCAGAAATTGAAACTAAATAAACTGGCTTTTTTTCTCTGCCTGGTTACACTCTCTGTGGGCTAAAAAAGGGAGAAAGAGACTTGTGTTTCCTGACCTATTTGAATGGTTGCATGCTGCCCAAGTTGCTATCTTCCACTGAAGAGGGGAAGTGGTGATTTAAAGTCACGTATGGAGAAAGGAAGAACTGTGTCAAGTGGGACTGCAGGGATAGGCAGCAGGGGTTTCTGGGGGCTGCAGCTCTGCTCTTCCATGCAGGACAATTCAAAGAATGAGGAACATCCAGGGCTGTAAGTATGAGGGGGTCACCGCCTGGCACTCGTGTAGAGTTCTATGAGGAGCTAGAAGATTCCAGGGTCTAGAAAACATGTGCTGGGGGGCACAGGTTGCCTGCAATGTTCTGAATGAGAGTAGGGATTGTGGAGGTGGGGGATATGCAGGAGTGTGCAGAGAAACTGGCTAATTTGAGGGGCTGTGTAGGGAAGCAGGATAGGTGTATTGGGCCTGATATAAAATACTGCAGGAAGGCATGTGGGGCAACGGGCAGAGTGCCTGGGCTAGGCTGGGGCTGCGGTGCAGCCTCTGTGTGAACTGTGATAGGATATGTGGATATGTGGAGCCATGCTGGGGATCCATGCAGGACCATTGAAGAGGTGCGACTTCCTCCTTGGAGCCTGTGTTCTGGGCTCTGGGGACCAGCGCCAGTCTCTGGACAACTGTGTGTGGCTCAACTTTGCTGACTAAAGATGGGCTGTGCTTCTCTAGGTGAGGCTTCTTTGCCCTTCTCTCTGTATCTGGTCTGAAAGACAGAGATGCCAGAGGTTCCTGAGCTGAAAAAAGAGGTGCAGAGTGGTTCCCGCCAGTGCGAGCCTGAGGCTGTGCCTCCTGCACACCAGCTGGAGACACTTTGTAATGCTTCCCTTTGTGCTTTCCCAATAGGACAATGTGGATCTTGGAGAGCTGATGTTTTCCCTCTGCTATCTACCCACGGCTGGTAGACTGACCATTACCATCATAAAAGCAAGGAATTTAAAGGCAATGGACATAACAGGAGCATCAGGTAAGACAGCCTCAAAATTAGACTTCCTCATCTGTTTCTAAGGCCATTCGTCATGAAATTTTTAACACAGTAATAAAGCACATTGGTTCTGGAACCAAGCTGCTTAGGTATCATCTCAGTCCTTCCGCCTCATAGCTGTGTGACCTTGGCTTAAGTCATTTAACCTCTCTGGACTTTATTTTCCCATCTGTAAAATGAGAGTAATAGCATGTATTTCATGGGGTGGTTGAAAATTTGAGTAATACATATAAAGTCATAAAAACAGATGCTGTATAATGTTAATTTTATTACTATTCTTTCTTATGGTTTCTCCCTCACTATACAGTCATAAATCTGAATGGGACCTGCAGTTTGCACATGCTGATATGGCTTCTTTTATTGGTTCCTCTTCCTCAGATTTCACTGTCAGGCTTCTAGAAGACAAAAGACCATCTCATCTTTATATCAGGGAGCTATACTGTTTGGTTTTTTTCATTGAGTCAAGCATGATCTCTTAAACTCTAAATCCTAACCCAAAATTGTCTCAACATGCAGTTCCCATGATAGAAATTCACAAACAACCTAGATAGGGACTCTCTCAATGTGGTTACAGACACCCAGTACATACTGGGTCATAGTCTCCAAAATCAAAGATATGATATGTGTTGTATTCTGTGCCCTGTTTTTCTAAGCAGAAAAACTGATGTGACCCCTCTGGCCTCTACATCCCTCCAGAAATGAGTAATGGGTTAGGGCATTGTGTCTGTACAGGTACAGAGAGATGGAGCAGTGAGGTTCTAAGGGACCAGAATAGGAGCAGAGGTCAGCCTTGTCACCTGTCCCTCTATCACAGTGTCACACCTATGCCAACCAATGTCTTTTCTCTCCGTGATGGATAATTACTTTTCTTTTTGTATCCATACTTTGGCCTTTACACAGCTCTGTGATCCCCTCCAATTCACTCCCAGATGATCCCCCTATCCTCTAGGAAGACAGGAATTCTAGGAATTCTTCTCTTTAAAACCTGATCTTTAGGAAAACATTGTTGGTATGGTTTAGAACTGGGGGCTCCAAGCCCAATGTGCATTTCCATCACAGTCAGGCAGGTTTCAAATTCTATCTGGAATGTTTTTTAATTCTGTAACAGATGTTTTTACACTATTTTTAAATTTCACACATTTTTAGAAGACACTGTCCTATGCTTTCTTTTGAATGAATGACTTAATTATTCTAACTCGTCACTGTCCTGGATACCACATTAATTAAAATCCTCAAACACCAGGCTGGTAAAGGAGTTCTACAAGTGAACTCCTAATCTCATTTATCCTCACAATGCCCCTGCTTCTGCTTTCTGTACAGATCCTTATGTGAAAGTCTCACTGATGTGTGATGGCAGGCGACTGAAAAAGAGGAAAACATCCACCAAGAGGAACACGCTGAATCCTGTTTACAATGAAGCCATAGTCTTTGATGTCCCTCCTGAGAACATTGACCAAATCCACTTGTCCATAGCAGTCATGGACTATGACCGGTGAGATACCTGCAGCTATGTCTCAGTGCAAGTCTGCTGTGCCCAGGGCAGCGAGGGCAGAGTGCTTAGTAGCCATGGGCTTTTACTGGTGTCCAAAGCCACAGGAAATGATGAACAGGTAGTACATGGAAGACAGGACGACAAGGAGTCACTGTTTTCCAAAGCATGCCGTAGACTCAGGTTGCTACAGTGACTCTCATTCAGCTCCTCCAGTCTTTCTTCCCTTCCTTTTATCTCCTTTGCCTCTACCCTTGCTATTTGCCTACTTCTTCCCTTTTCCATCTCTACATACCTCCTGGAATCTGCACTTGGAGAACTGTGACCCCTTGGGTCTTCCCTACAGCCTCACAATCCTGTCTACATTTAGGGGAAAGATTCCACTCAAAACAGTAGAATGATTACTCTAGCCAGACCATCAATATTTCCAAATACTAACTTCAATCTTTTTTTCCCTTCTTTCCTCCTTGCAGCCTGTTTAATAAAGATCATTTCCATCCATTTAAGTCTGAAAGCAAACACAGAAATGTTCTCTTGAAAATGCTAGAATCAGTGTGGGTGACAGGGTACATTAAAATGTATAAGATGCTAGACTTTTAATTAATACAGCACAGAGAGATATTTATAGCCTGCATTGTAGCCAATTGTGTATTTAAAGGACAGATTTAAAAAACAGTCATTTTAATATGCAAAGGAAGTACCAACAGGGAATTATACATGTTAAACCAGTCATTAGACTGAAATGCAAAGTCTCTTTTTAATTAGAAACCTCCCACGTGGTCTGGGCACAATTATAAAAGAAAAAAATCATTCTGACTTCTAATATAATCTTACAAATATTATTTGTAGCTAAAATTTTTCCACATACCTCTGAAATGTCATCAAGGCGACTTCAATGAACTAAACACTTTTTTCCAACACAGCTGTCCTTGGATGAGACAGCCCATGCTGAACAGTAACACTTGTCACATCTCCTCTGGGCAACACACAACACAAGTGGTGTCAAGCCCCAGGAGGGGATGGAGGGGATATTATCCACCAGCTATGGACGTCTAGGCCAGCACTTTTCAAGCTATTTGCCAAGTTTCTTGCATTGACAAATCTGATTATGTGATCTCTGGCTCAGTTTAATTATTAGTAAACTCATGAATCTGGCCTGGAAAAATCCATAACAGAATCCGTGGGGCTTCTTTATACATCTAATTTTAATGAGCATAGATTCAAATACCCTTCATGCTACAAACCCCATGTTTGAATCCTCTTTGCCACTCACACACAAATAGAAAAATTACTCATTTTTTGCAGAAAAAAAAATATGTGGCCGTCGACTCCAAAGAGTTAAAGGATAACTGATACCTTTATGGAAAAGATTTTAATAACAACAAAACATCACTAATAAAAAGAAATTGTCCTAACGCAGAGACCTACCCAGGAAAATTTTCAAAAATATTAGTGCTAAGGCTGTAAGAGCCAGTATATTTGCATAGTTGGGATATCAGGCTGGGCCAAAGAGTAAAAACTGGTCTCAGATGGGAAGAGGGAAGTGCACATGATGACAGCATTCTGTAGCAAACTGAGAGCAAGGAGATCCAGGAGCCTCCTCCATGCTATGCTGTTTGTGGGCTCAACACCCATGACTGCAGCCTCAGAGCTGCTCCATTACTCATCCTTGGTTGCCTCTTGTAGGAATTTTGGTGGCCACTGTTACAAGAAAAGTCTTTCAGATGGGCTCCCTATTTACTATATGGGCTTGAAGTCCAACCCAGTTCTAGAACCAGAAAAGGTACTCTTAGCATATATCAGGAAATTTTTTGAACATAGGGTTCCTGGGAACAAAATAAACCATGTCAGCGTTAGGAAAGCCAGGTACAGCATCAAATCCCAAGTCCTGTTGGCTATTAAGGTTGGCCTATAGTTTTTACTTAGGGAGTAAAAAAACAGCACTTCCTCTTGTGTTCCATCAGTTTAATTGAATAGCCATTGCTCCTATATACCAAAATTTTAAGAAAAAACTATTGTGGGCCATTTTCACAGTGTAGGTCACAATGAGATCATCGGTGTGTGTCAAGTAGGCAACGAGGCTGAGAGGCTGGGCCGAGACCACTGGAGCGAAATGCTGTCATACCCTCGGAAGCCCATCGCACACTGGCATTCCTTGGTGGAGGTAAGGCCCGACCCCCGTGTGCTGTACTTCGTCAGATAGTAAATGCTTTACTGTTGAAATGCAAGAGCACCAAAAGTATCAGAGCACCGGGATCTACCTCAAAGATACGTTTCCCTGGTTACATTTCCTAGGACCTGCTTTCAATCTGAGGTTCAGTCTGTACTCCCATCAGTCTAGTAAGTTTTGAACATTATCAGGGATCATCACTCATTTTGATCGACTTTTTAAAAGATCAAAATTATCTGATTTCACATCATGGCTTTGGGTTGGCATTCAGAGGGCATCTGCAGAATCTGGGTGAGTGTGGCATTTTAAGCTATCAGGTGTTGTCTTGAGTCTGTTGTTGAGCCTGAGAGAAAAGAGGTCTTTAATCCAGGAATGGCTCTGGCACCAATTGTGATTCTGTGTAAACTGGTTAAGTATCAGGTTCAACTTTATATAATAAAAAACAATGCACTACAAAACAACAGTAGGTAAAATGGAATTTTCTTTCCTATATGCAAATGATCCAGAAGGAAACAGTGTGCAGTGTTATTACGGTGAATCCAGGATGAAAAGAGACCTAGATATCTTCTGTCTTTCTCTTCTACTGTCCCCATTGGTCCCATTGGGATTTGTTTCCTTCAAGTCACTTCATTATGCAGTGTGGTGGCTAAGTTCCAACCATCACATGTTTTCCAGGCCATGAAAAGGTGTAAAAAAGCATGACTTTCAGCAAGTCTCTTGGTAGCGAAAGATGCAAAATATATTCTTTTTGTTCGGTGGCCAGCTGCAAATAAGATTTTATTTGTAGGAAAAGGAGGGTAGCCTACCTAGAGGCAACTGGCCACCATTCCGGTACTTTCATCCTCATGCATTCACTCATTCTGTGTCACTGTTTATTCATTCTTCTCTCCTTTTTTTAAAAGAAAAAAACCAATAAAAACAATGATACAGAATTTCAAAACAAGGTAATAAGAAATCAACACTGGTTAATATATTGTGTCATTATCTTCAGACTTTAAGACATAGGCATGCAAAATTGATCATACAATATAAGGACAAACCATTCTTCTCAATGAACTAAAAGAAATGAGTAGTATAATTAGCCTAACTATTTTGAGTTTGTGTGTGTGTGTGTATACATTTATCTTTTTTCTTTCCCATCCTTTTCCCCCTACCCCAATTGTTCTTTCCTTCAGGGCACAATATCTTATACCTTATGGATATTAATAACTCTTTGAGTTTCTTACACTAGGAGTACAATAAGATATTTACACAAGCATGTCTGATTTATTTCACTTATGACTGGTTTTTAGTTGCATCTATTTACTTATAAAGGCCTGAGTTTATCATTACTTATAGCTTAGTAGTACTCCATTGTATAAAAAGACCACATTATCTTTATCTGTTCTTTGGTTGATGGACATTTGCATTATTTCCAAGATTTAACTATTTAAATTGTGCTGCTATAAACATGAGTGCACATACATTGCTGTGGTGTGATGTTTTTAATTCTTTTGGGAAGATACTTAGAAGGGGGAATAACTGATTCCAATGGGACCTCCAATCCTAATTTTTAAGGAATCTCCACACTAATATTCACAGTGATTGTACAAATCTGTACTCTACAACAGTGGAGAACAGCTCTTCTTTCACTGCAGCCCTGCCAGCATTTATTGATTGATTTCTTTTTTTTTTTGGTCTTTTTCCTTTTTATCGGTACCAGGGATTGAACTCACGACTACCTGTTTGCAAGGCAGGCGCTTATGCCGCTGAGCTAAATCTCCAGTCCCTATTGATTGATTTCTTAATGATAACCATTATTTCTGGGGTGAGATAGAATCTCAAGGTTGTTTAAATTTCTCAAACAACTAATGATGTTGAACATTTTTTCATGTATTTATTTGCCATTTGTATTTCTTCATCTGAGAAGTGTGTATTCATCTCAGATGCCCAGTTTTGGATTGGGTCTTTGAATTTGGGAAGGGGGGCTGATTTCAATTATTTATGTGTTCTAGGTAGAAGTCTTTTGTCTGAGGAACAGTTGGTTAAAATTTTCTCCCCATTCTGTGACTTGTCTTTTCACTCTGTTGGTGATTTCTTTTGATGTGCAGAAAATTTTAATGACTTCCCTGTGGTTAATTCTTTGAAGTTCTTCCATGCAACTTGTGCTTTGTCCATGAACTGTCTGCCTACCCCTATGTCTTCAAGATTTCTACTTACTTTCCCTTCCAATCAATTTAGTGTTTCTGTTTTGATATTTAGATCTCTGATCCATTTTGACTTTAGTGCACTTTAGTGTTTGGCTTGGGGAAAGCCAGTTTTTCCAGCATCCTTTACTAAAGAGGCTATCTTTCTTCCAGTGAATATGTTTGGCCCTTTTATTAAAGATAAAGTGGAGGAGTGTGTTTGTAGTTGTACCTGCATCTTCTAAGCTGTTTCATTGATCTTCAGGTCTGTTTTGTTTTGTTTTGTTTTGCCAGTACCATGATGATTTTATCACAGTAGCTTTGTAGAATAATTTCAAATCAGGGATGTTGATGCCTCCTGCCTTGCCTTTGTTGCCCAGGATTACCTTTGCTAGTCTAGGACTCTTCTGATTCAAGAAGAAATTTAGGAATGTTTTCTCTAGATTTGTGAGCTATGTTCAAGGTATTTTGATTGGGATTTCATTAAATCTGTATGACAATTTTGGAAATATGATCATTTCACAATGGTAGTTCTTCCTATCTATGAGCAAGGGATATCTTTCCACTTTCTGATATCTTTTGAGTCTCCTTTTTCAGAGTACTATAATTTCAGTGTATAGATCTTTTACTTCCTTTGTTAGATTGATTCTTAGATATTTTACCATTTGGATGCTGTTGTGAGGGATATGGTTTCCCTGATTTCTCTCGGTGAGTTTGTTGTTTGTGTATAGGAATGCTATTAATTTTTGAGTGCTGACTTTGCATTGAGCTACACTACTGAATTTCTTTATTAAATGTAGAAGTCTTTTGGTAGAATTCTTGGGGTCTTTTATGTAGAGTATCATCTTATCTTAAATAATTTAACTTCTTCCTTTCCTCTAATTATTTCTTTTATTTCTTTGTCTTGTCTAATTGCTCTGGCTAATATTTTCAGAACTATATTCAATAGGAGTGGTGATAGTGAATATCTTTGTCTTGTTTCTGATCTTAGAGTAAAAGCCTTCAGTTTTTGTCCATTTAGTATGATGTTAGCTATTGGTTTGTCATGGAAGGCTTTTATTCGATTGAGGTAAAGACCATCTATTATGATTGTCTCTGGGATTTTTTTTTATCATGAATGTATATTGGACTTTATCAAAAACGTTTTCTGCATCTATTGAGATGATTATATGATCTTTGTCTTTGGCTCTGTTGGTATGATGTATTATGTTTGAGGATTTGCATATGTTGTACCATCCTTGCATTCCTGGGATGAATGCCATTTGATCATGTTGTACAATCTTCTTGATGATTTTCTGCATTCTGTTTGCTAGTATTTTATTGAAGATATTTGCATTTATGTTCATTAGGGAGGTAGGCCTGTAATTAAAAAGATTGGGCCTTTCTCTGATTTTGGTATCAGGGTAATACTTTCCTGCAGGAATGAGTTAGAGAGTATTGTTTCCTTTTAAATTTCTTTAAAGAGTTGGAGGAGTATTGATGTTAAAATCTTTTCTAAATTTCTTGTAGAATTCATCTGTGATTTCATCAGGACTTGGGCTTTTTTTTGTTGGTAAGTTTTTAATTATATTTTTAATTTCATAAACATATCAGGTTATTCATAATTTTTATATCATTTTTATTCAGCTTTGGTAATTCATACATTTCTAAGAATCTGTCCAATCTGTTTCCCATCCTATTTGAGTAAACATATTCAAAGTAGGTATTGATGATCTTCTGAATTCCCACAGGATCTATAGTGATTTCACTCTTCATTCCTTATTGCATGAATTTGAGTTATTTCTTTCTTTTTTGTGGCAAGGTTGGCTAGGAGTTTATCAATTTTATTTATTCTTTCAAAAAAGCAACTCTTCAATCCATTGATTCTTTGTATTGTTAAAAATCTCAATTGCATTAATTTCTGCTCTGATCATTATAATTTTCTCCATTGTATAGACTTTGGGCTTGACATGCTCTTCTTTCTCTAGAAGTCTGAAGTACAACATGAAGTTTTTTATTTGTGCTCATTCTATATTCCCGGAGTGACAATTCAGTGCTATAAATTTCATTCTCAGGACTGCTTTCATAGCATCTCACAAGTTCCATTAAGTTGTATTTGCATTTTCATTTGATTATAGATATTGTTTAATATCTTCTTAAATTTTATCTGTGATCCATTGGTTGTTCATGAGTGTATTATTTAATTTCCACGTGTTTATGCACTTTTTGCAGTTTGTTTTGTCATTAATTTCCAATTTTGTTGCTCTGTCATCAGCCTAATATGCATGGGATAATTTTCTTTGCATTTACTTAAGTATGTTTTATGGGCTAGTATATGGTGTCTTTTAGAAAACATCCCCATGCTCAGCTGAGAAGATGCATATTCTCATGTTGTTGGGTGAAACATTGTAAAAACCTCTACTAAGTCCATTTGTTCATAGGTTTGGTTCAGTTCTGTTATTTCTTTTCTGATTTTTTTTGTCTAATTGATCTATCTCTTTATAACAATGAAGTATTGAGGTCTTCCATTACAGTTGTGTTATTGCCTGTTTGATTTTTCATGTCTATTAGTATTTTGTTATATAATTGGGTGCTCCCATATTTGGTGCATATATATTTATGATTGTTTTTTCTTCCTCTTGAAGTTTCCCCCTAACAAGAATGTACTGAGCTTCTTTACTCTTTTGATCATTCTTGGTCTGAAGTTCACAACAGAGTAGCTACCCTTATTTTTTTCTAGCTTCTTGTTGCATGTAGTATTGCTTTCCATCCTCTGACATTCAGACTATGAATTTGTTTTTGAGTTAAATGTGTTTCTTGTATGCAGCATATTGTTGTGTCTTGTTTCTT